AATAAACTGATAAATAGAACTAACATGCAGGATTTTTGGAGAGAAGTGAAAGGAGATGTAAATTAGTTTACTTTTTATTCATCAGCATCTATGTTATTTTAGGATAGATTATATATATTTGCATCTAATGATTGTGATTTAGAGTTTGTAAGACAGACGTAGGGTTAATAAAAGTAGCAGATCACATATTGGTAAATATGAATTTTAAGGGTACATGTGATTATAAAGAAGCTAGGAGGAGGTTACGTACAGGAATTCTATGTCAAAATGTTCGTATAGATCAGGTCACTGACAAATTCAGTAAACTTAATTCTTCAACGTACTCACATAGGAAAGCCAGAGAAACAAACTGCATGTAGGTCAGCCAAAACCCTGAAGCTGATTCACTGGGAAAGTCTGAGGCTGCCATAGCTATGGGGAGGCGCCTGGGATTGTAGGGGCTGAAGTTGGTATAAAAGCAGCTGAGGTAGGAGCATTTGTTGCTGCCCGTTTGCTGAAGGGTGATCAGGCTGATCGTGGGATCGTAACAAAGGGCTTTAGGGTGAAACCAATAAAGAAGGATTTGAAAGACTGGCAATACATAATTAACAGATTTTGAAATTGTAAAAAGACTGGTATTAATATCAGAAACTAGGAGAAACCAACATGAATTTGACCCAACTCTGGGTGGCAGTGGAAGACGGGAGGGCCTGGCGTGCTCTGGTCGATGGGGTCACGAAGAATCGGACACGACTAAACAACAAGAATAGGAGAATTAGGTTTGCCAAGGAGAAGGGAACTAGCACCACATGGGATTTGGAGACTCTCCCTCTCTTAATGCAGCCTAAATAACACTGGCCTTTTTTGCAGCACCATCACACTGTTGGCTTGTGACGTGAGACGATTTCAAGGTCCTTCTCGCTCCTAATACTGCTGAGCCAGGTATCCCCCGTCTTGTAACGGTGTGAAATAGTATGGGAAACCATGGAACCTGGACACACTCTCCAAAGTGTTCAGCAGGTGTGCCCGACAAGGACACGGGAATGCGCAACTTAAGGGTGAAGATGACATCACAAGAGGCACTTCAAAATGTACTCCATTTATTCTCTTTTTTCTCTGTATTGCATTACTTCAGCATTTTGTTGTTTATTCTTTCCAGTGGAAACCAGCACAAAATTGAATGAGCTCCTTATGCCTTCTTAACTTATCAGGAGCTCTGACTAAAGCTCTTTCCACCTTCCATGCATTTATGTGGTTTCGCCCCAATGCGGGTTCTTTGATGTTGTAAGCTTCAACAGTCCTCCTAAGAGAATCTGAAAGCCGGAATAGAGAGGTTATAAGTCCAATGTACCCCTATTTGGATTGAGATGAGTCCTTGTCTCACCCAGGGTGTCCCACTGGCACTCATACACCAAGTCTATTCCCAATTTAAAATCATTGAGAAACCAAAATATAATCATGAGTCTTAGAGTCATTCAGAACTCCGAGAACTCAAGAAAATACTGGACTCAAAGCACCATAGTTTGTGGCCTGTTAGAAAATCAAATTAAGTATGGTAACAGGTTGTCTGTTCAAGACACCAAACAAAAGTTCTTAAGTATAATTGTTTTATTAGAAAAATAAAGATTTAGTTGATTTCAGTTTATTGCAAAGCATAGCATTCAAAATCATTTCCATAACTAAGGCAATTAGAAACTTAGCAAACTCCAGCTACAAAAATAAAATAATAAAATCACTATCTAAGAAAAATACTCACTAGATAAGGAATAGGTAAGGCAGAGCCCTCCTTTCCATTCTCCTACTAAGAACTACATCCTAGCAAAATACTGGAAACTCCCATAAGAAACCCCCCTTCTTCTCTCTTCACTCTGCTCACCAATCAGGACAAAGGACTGCTCGTCTCTCTCTCCGCCTTCCTTTCGCATGGGACTGCAGGTGCTGTTTCCATTTTCCCTACGTTTTGGCTCTTTCTTTGGCCTTGGCCAAGCTAACTGCAAGATAACATTGCTAGCTGGCTGTGAAGAAAAACAGCATCTCGATGCTTCTAGTAAAAATGACACAGACCGAAAATGGATTCCTTCTACATCATTCCATGACTGCAAATCCCATTTAGAAATTACATTCTAGCTTCAATAACCTACTGTACATCATGACAGATGTAACCTAAGCTTACCACTCTGACTAAAGTTTGCGAGCACCCAGGGGCTTCTAAAAGAACACCTGATGCTTGAACAGAGAGGTTCCAGGTGTAAGTGTACTCCTAAAACATTTGAGCAGAGTCCAGGCAACCCAGCCAGGCAGTACCACTTACCCTTTTCCCAAGTCTGTTCTAATGAGCAATTAAAAGAGAAAAAAACAAAGATAGAAATCATGAGTTTTGGAGTCTGCCAAGACAAACAAAACTCAGATCAAGAAGGACTCAAGTAGCTTCTCTATGGCCTGTCACTATAATGCTTGCAGATTTGCTGTTCAAGAGACCAAACTTAGGATTTTAAGAATTATTGTTTTATTTAAAAAATAAAGAATTTAGAGATATTCAGTTTGTTGCAAAACTTTAGCATCAAGTACATTGCCATAAATCATAGCAGTTAGAATATTAACAATTTCCAGCTACAAAAATAAAATAAAAAACTCTAAAA